GCAACAGAACTCTGCGGCAGGTCAGGATGGAGAAGTAGAGCTTACAGGTGCGAGTAAACCTGTGGGAGGGAAGCCGACTGCCTTCCTGGGGGGAGGATAGAGATGGAGGGCTCCAGAGGCAGACCTCAGGGAATGAGGACGTTTAGGAAGGCAGCAAGAACAGGAAGTTGCAGAACCCATGGGAAAATCCAGACCGGAAAGCTCATGGCAGCCTGTGAAGATGGAGGGGTCAACAGTATCAGCCATGGGACCAAGTCGGGTTGATGACAGCTGGCTTAACTGATCAGCAGGTGGTCTGTGACCTTTATCACAGGGCAGTGGAAGCCTGATTGCAGACAGTTAGAAACAGGATGGCAGTGAGGAATGGGATGGAGACCCCACGAGGTAGGAGAAGGGTGACAGGAAGCCAGATCTGGAGGGGCAGCAGGAGTTGACGGTGAGGAGGGTTGGAATGCCAGAATTGGTGGGGGGATGGAGGGACCTTGTGCCAAAAAGGGTGTGGGGAGGATGGATAATAAAGCCCTTGGGGTAAAGGTGGGGCAGGGACACTTACTGGAAGCCTACCTCACCTTTTCTAGGTCTGAGAAAAAGACCTAAGGGCTTGGAGTGATAGGGATAGGAGGATGTGGTGCAGAAGTCGGGACAAAACAAACAGTGACACAAGTGATGTCATTAGGTAGAGTGATGTTTTGGTTACTGAAACATGGTACCAATAGTTCCAGCCTGTGTGGGGGTGCAGTCTGCAAAAACTGAAAATAAGCATCTTCTTTCCAAGGATTTTTACACTCATCTTAAGTATACAGCTTGATGATTATTTAAATATGTACACAACTGTATAACCACCACCCAGAGCAGATATAGAACATTCTCCGCATCACATAAAGCTGCCTCCTGCCCCTTCCCAGTCCATGTAACCCCCAGCTGGGGACCTCTATGCTGACTTCATCATCAATGTGTCTGTTCTTGAACTCCATCTCTCTGGCATTCTACAGCATGCACTCTTTGGTCTGGCTTCTTTCATGCAACATAATATTGGATGGACTCATCCACGTCACTGTGTGTACCAATAGTTTCTTTTCTTATTGCTGGGTAGATTCCATCATTAATATGCTACAGTTTAACCATTCTACCATTGATGGGCACTTGGGTCGTTTCCAGGTTGGAACCATTATAAATAAAAGTAATTACGAGCCAGCCCCTTTAAAAACAGATTATCTCATTCTCTCGCTCTCTCTCTCTTGCACATATACAGGCCCTCGCACAGGTGCCAGAGCAGGCCAGCCTCCTCTGGGAGGTCGCCCCTTGCCCCTCGATGCTGTTTCCTCATGGCTGGGGGATGAGGGCTCGGGACTGGGAGCCGGGGTGGGCGCAGTGATACCCTCTTCCTAAGACTCATCGCGTCTCTTCCAGCCTCCTCGCCCCGGGCCGCGGGCGCCCTGAGCCTTCCTGACCCCGCAGGGGGCCT